CGATGATCAGAATAAGACAGAGCTCTCCACTGATGCCATTAGCCGTCGGCATTGAGCCCAATGTTTTCGGGACAACACTTGTCATCCAATTAAATGATAGGTCCATATCATTATCACTCGGAATTCCCGAGAAATAGTCCTCAGCTTTCACTGTCTATAATCAACAAATTTATTAGCACTACACAGAATATTCTGTAACTAGAAATAAATATTGTAATCTTATAGTGAAAGTAATTCACATATAATTGTATATAAATTTACATAGCCTCATTTATACCGTAGTTAATAGAGTTTAAATGTTATTTTAGTGCTGATGCATACAATTACTGAATAATATTTGCTTTAATCTTACGTTTGAGAATAGACTCCAATGCTGTTCCTCATCATTAAGAGTGAAGTCATAAATATTAGTCCAATTGTTGTTCAATACACAGAGATTGGCTTTTTTGAATTGATCTGTAATTAGATATGATTATTATTAATATAATATAATATGAATATTATAGATCATATAATATGAGTCGATATTACCGTATATAACTTATATACTATAAGAATATGATTGACTAACCCTCTAATCCTTTATAATTGGCGGAAAAGCACCCAAATGTGAGGTCATAACAGGATTCAATGGCCGGTTGTGTGGCACAGTATAAGAATATTTCAATGTTTTTGCAATCTCTGGATCGGAACTGTTGAGAGCAACACATTATACGACAACTGATGCAGTTTCGGAGCACAACACTAGACATCAATCCATTTGTTTAAATCAATTCATTTATGACATACTTTAGATGGGCTTTATACTAGGCTAATTTTTATATTATAAAATTATAGAAACCCAGAAAACTATTATAACTGTATTTGTACTTTCATAAACTTATCCATCTTTATAAGTACTGTATGTGCAAACCTTTTATATGAGTTTTAATTAAGTTATAAATTTCATTATTGCTTAACTCTTAAAGTATGAATATAATACAAACTTTGTTATTAGTTAGAATACCTGCCAATTGTAGGTCCAATAAAAATTGAACAATTATTACAGTCATCAATGGTTATAGTATTGATATAATCAAAGAGTCCGATATTGGCAAACTCGCAATTTTCCACAATAAACTGTTGTCCAGCAATGTCTCCAGGTCTTTTTATGACACTATCGTATTTGACATTCGCTATCGTATAGTCTTTTGGATCCACTTTGTCTTTGTCGGACCTAAACATTAATATGAGATTAACATAACTTCATAAATAGAGGAATGTATACCAAGAATAGTGGTTGTTATCGACTACAATAGGTTTGGCTTTTGAGTTGAGGCAACCCATCCTTCAATGGTTTCACGATTTTTATTTCAATTTGAAGTTTATATTTAAATTCCATATAAATTTG